TTTTCCAGAACACAATAATCATCAAATATCAATTTGAAATATTCGTCAAATATGAATATGCCCATTTTCTAAGCAACTATCTGCTGAAACCGATATATTTATATCATTTACATGAAACTGATGAAATTTTACATTCCATTCATCACAAATACAACTTACTTGTATGTAGTATTTATTTTATTTTGCTTAAAAAAGCTAAACAAGACAGAGGAACTTCTGTGGCAAAACAGCCCCCAAAGAAAATCTATTTGACCAGGTTTACCACTATTTTGCCGCAAACAACACAAAAATATCAAAACATGTAAACAACACATATGGATAGTAAACAGAATAGCAATTTTTACTTTGCACACATTGAGATCCCTGGTTCCGGTCACCACCACTGTGAAGTAATCTTAAGTTGGCAAGTATCTCTACAATGAATCATCTGCCATTAAACCATTCTAAATTACTTTGTTTACATCTCGACCACTGAGTAATACAAACATTTTGAGAAGTCTGTGTCATTCCCCTTTAACCTCCAGCATGAATCTGGGCTAGATGGGCTCAACAGTATCATCAAACTCCCTCTCCTGTCTGATCATGATTTTGTCTGATCAGGTAGCCTTGTGGATCCACAAGCTTCTCACCTCAGCCTCATATAGTGACGCCACAGACTACAGATCCTATAAAACCGAGGAAAGCAAATAGGAAAGGAACTTTCATTCAACTATTGAGTGTGTGGGGCGACCCAAACACAGCAAGCTTTGGGGGTGGGGAACAGTGTCCTCTGAGGGGTATATAATAATGCAGTGCCCCCCTTTCTCACACCACACAATGACAAGCAACGAAAGTCGCAGAACTTTGTGTGTTCTTGGAAATAAACGAGCAACGGCTAATCTGGACAGCTGTTTACAGTTTGCAGTGCATTCATGAAGAGGTGAAAAGCCGTTTCCTATTTCCTCACGATCTGTACGTTACATTGTAAACACAGCAAGCTAGTCCAGTGAGTAAACTCCAAGAATGTGTGTCAGTTCGTATGTTTCAAGTCTTTAAAAACGACATTTTTTAATAAATACTACCTTATACAAATAGTTATAGCTGTTATGCCTGTAACAAAACACTAAACAGCCCTACTCACCCCTCAGTCCATTCATGCTGTAAGTCCTAAGCCCCACTGTAGCCTGTCTCTCTCTCTCTTTCTCACTCACTCAGCTAAAGCTGCCCGTACTTTAGCAGAGCGAACAACTTTCCGTTTCTTGCGGGGGTGGCAAGTGTCTGACAGACTCGCAGAGGGATGTCAAAAATACAAAAGCCGCCTCAGTTCGCGTAGCAGTTTATTACAAAATGTATAAAAATAAATAGTTGGACTGTCTGTGATCATATTGAGCAATACTAAACACTTTAAATAACTTTGGAAAGTTTCTCCACAGTGGTACAGTCCCACTCGCTGCTGAGAGACAGAGAGAGGGAGCTGTGACGGTTGATTGACTGTAGCCTAACTGAGCATATAAATCTTAATACGGAGTGAAGGAGCGACAGATTTTATCATTTAGATGTAATATACCAACAGGCTATAAAACAGTAGACTATTAATAAGCTTTAAATAATAAACCATATATCTGAATGGTCCTTCTTCGTTCTCATTTTTGGCCGGATTCCTCTCTGCACTTGCCGTTGGTGTATCGTCACTCATAGAAAACATGGCGAAATACTACTTTTTCACACAGCTAAAACGTGTATCTGAGGCTTTAAGAGAGCTGTATTCTGACTAAACTAGACCTCGTCATTTATCCTAACATTTCTGCAACGTCTGTACTAGAGATGGGGAGTCGATTCCAAAAGAGTCGAATCTTCGACTTCACCACGTCTGGGAGTCATGACTGAGTTGGCGAATCTTTGATGCTTGGAGTCGACTCTTCTCGTTGTAATTGCTCAAAGGGCGTTCTGACGGAAGGGTGTGTTTAGTTTGACTAGTGCGAGTTTGTTTACAAGCTTTGTGATAATGAACGCGGCTCACCGGTCGCTGATAAAAATGTCTGCCTCCACAGTGCACCACTCAGTACTCTAACACTGTTACGGGAAAAAACTCATCTTGTTCATGATCGGGGCTGCTAAACAATGATTTAAAACGGTACAAGGAACGAAAACAAAAACAGTAGTAAACAATATTCAAATGTTCCGTTCCACCTTAAATGGTGCTGCAGTTACATTTTTGAACTCGTACACCATTGCCCAGATGGCGAGCATATATCGGTCCGCAGGTTTGAAAAGGTCGTACTCCACTGATTGCTCGCCACTGCTGGCCCACCCTCGGACAACCCAGATTACTGCTCTCCATACAAGCTGTACCTAGTTTTTAATATCCTCAAATAGATTTTAAATGCACAAAGACTTTTATTTTAGAAAATAATCTTATAAGCCAATATTGCAAACAACTGAGAGAAAAGAAATGACTAGGCCTGATATAAAATGATTTTATAGAAAATGTTGCTGACGCTGAGCTGGGTTGAAATTATTACTGAACTAATTTACAAAGTATAACTAAAGAAAGGAAGGAAGAAAAATCAGTAAATTGGGGGAAAATGAGCGATGATGAGCGAGGTTTTGCCTATTACTCTGCTTAACCGCCTCGGGCCGCCCAGAAAACGCTGAGCAAAACGCAAGTGAACCACCAGCTCTGCCATCAGCGAGCCGACAGCTGTCCGCTATCCTCTTGCTATCAGGGTGAGGTTACTACGGCATCAGTTAAGGTGGAACGGAAACTTCAAATGAGAAACTGGCTAATTCAGCCTCGTAGAAAGAGGAACAAGGTAATATTCAGCTGCTCTTGTATGAAAACTACTTTAAATCTGTCTAACTGGCCAATAATGCCATACTGAAAAAATCGTAGAAACCATTAATATGCTCTGTTGGTTCGTGGTGGTAAACAATAGTCACTAATGGTAATTTGTGTTTTCCTTATGGGTTTTTATCACAGTGTAAGTGGATTCTAATGGTTTAACAGGCGTTCTGGGACTGATACTAGATCAGGGGTGCACAGCACAGTTGGAGGTTTCCCTGCTCAAACACACCCACTAAACCTGGCAATTAACAGATATGTGTGATCAGGTGTGTTGGAGCAGCTAAATCACCAAACTGCTGGAAACCGGCCCTCCAGGACCGGAAGTTGTGCAGCCGTGTACTACATGCGTAGGCTTTGCCAATGGAATCTAGAGGTGTCCTACATGAAACTAGTGGTATCTAATAGTAACTATTAAGCCAAGTCCCATTAGAAAGCAAAAACATAAGGTTTTATTCCTAACAGTCTTAGCAGGGTGGTTTATTTTCATAGAATTATGTTGAAAGTAATGATTTTCTCAGTACATCACTTCGAGTTTCCTGTCATACCTTGAGCTCCCTTCAGCAACCTCGTTATAAGAAATTATGTGAATTAAATGTGTTGAAACATTAATCAGCTGCAATCATTTGTCAAGCTACCTTATATTACTTGGTTTAATTATGAATTTTCATCATAGCACTATTATCTGTGGCTTATCTAAAAAATAGGTAAACTATGTTTAGGTTGTTTTAATATCTGCTGTGTCCGTTTATCACTGGTTCTGGAGTTGTCTTGGTTAAGTTGAGTGGGGTCGAGGAGTCGACTTCATCTGTATACAGTACAGATTAATATTTACAGTAGTAAACAGAGTGGCATATTAATCAAATATAGTGAATCACTATGCGAATGTTAGATGTAGAATGTGCGTTAGTTCTCTGTTGTGAATAAGATTTTCTTTTGCATTAGAGGAGTTTAATGTTGTTATATCCCTTGGTTACATTTAAATCAATAATTTTGCATACATAAGTCATTAATGCGAAGTAATGCGTTGTAGAGAAGCTTACTGATTCAGATTTTCTTTGCAGTGGTGCTGATAGGAACCAGGGGTCATGATGTCTGCAACACAAATATTTGTAGACATCATTTTAATTATTAGACACACCTACGAGTGACCTTCTGAGGTTGTAATATGTAACATTGGTAGTGGTAAAGTAGTGGTAAAAACATTTGGTCTGGGGACTATCTTGCCTTACAGCACCCTGCGTGTACCTCTCCACCACAACTGTAAGGAAAAAATGTTTTAGACCAAATTCTTCTTAACATTATCGTAAAACATTGTCTCGGGTATCAAGTAGCACATAACTGACCACTATTTCCTGTATTATCTTTATGTGAGCCACTATTGTGACCATTTTTGACTCAAAGGTTTCTCTAAAATGGAGCACTTCACCTCAAACCACTCTGAAGGACTTTGTTTACATCAGTTTAACTCTAAAGAAATGCTGAAAAATCAGTGGATTTCCTCTTTAAATCTGCGTTTGCATCTAGCATTGGCCATTAAAGGCATTTTGCTTTGGAAAGCTTAATGGACACTCCTCTGTTTTAGTGCAAACTAGTTTTACTTTTAGTTGTGGCAGCGGCGGCCTACACAGTCTTCTTTAGAAGTGAGACATCTGAGGTCAGTGTGGCAAACAAATGCGTTAAAGTGATCTTTCTGAGAAAACATGTCAGCCTGTTAAGTAATGCAACAGTTTACTCTGAATTGCAAATCCACCCACGGTCACAGAGTTAAGACAAAAAAAAACTGTAAAATAAAGCTGGAATAGCTCAAATATTTCTTCTTATGTTGCTGTGTTGTTCATCAGCCCCATAAATGCTACATTAGTCAATGGTAAGGCATTGTTTAATCTGTTTATAACTTTATGTCCCAATTTTTTGTTTACATTGTAAAGAAAGTCGCCAATAAGTAGGAAGGAAGTTTTTTGCATGTCATGCCACGTACGCAAATGTCACAGACGACTTACAGATCTTAGGTGTTCGCAAATAGAACTTTAGATTCATGTCTGTGAAAAAACCTTTGTCCTTATTTCTTAAGGCCTTACTGGTCTCCCTATTGGTAGGCCTCAAAATGAACCTGAACTTACTCCCATACAAGCCTTGATTGTTTATGGACCAACCAAGAATGAATTGCACCACTTACCTGTTCATGAAGCTCCAGAAAATCCAGCCATCTCCCACTTTAGTGGACACACTTCCAGGCCGAGCATGTAAACAAAGACTTCATTTGCTACCACATGAGATCTGTGCTTATCTTAGGCTTTTAATTAATGATTTTTTTTGCGTCAGACTGACGCCTCTCGTATGTCATGTGACTTCCTGTACGACAGTGATGCTTGTGCTAGTCAGAAGTCTTCTCCACATCCTGCCCTTGTGTCATAGCACTACCCATACAGTTGCGCACTCATTCCTTGTTTTGCCTCTTATTCTACTGTCGTGCGTACCACAGCTGTGCGTCCACGTGAGCATTCCGAGCGCTGTGCATCACCTGTTGGGTTTAACCTCTGAAATGATATGGAGAACGACAGCAGGACAGTCAGCTTCCAAAGACTGTCATCTGGTGAGTGTTAGTGTGTTTGTGCCTGTATGTTCACATGTGCTTTGTCTTTTTGTATCTTAGTGGGCTGTTTTGAAAGGGAGGAGAACATATGTAGATACATATCCCCAATCAAAAAGATCGTTCTAAGCCAAAGTTTAAAAAAGAAACATATAAGAAACATAAGAAGCAGTAAAACTCTCCTCACTCTCCTTCAATTCACTGACTCTTTCTGTGTGTTGAGTTTCACCCTTCACTTCCTCTTGCTGTGGATCATGCCTGTCATTGTGCTTTCCGGTTGTTTTGTGCATTGCCCCCTGCAAAGGTTAGCCACAGCTCTTCTTTGTGAAAAAAAATGGTGCTGTATTTGAAAGCTGCAGTTTGTGCGTGCAGGCCTACTCTCACTCTCTTGACTTAAAGGAAAATTCCATGAACTCTGCGAAATTTCAGCATAGTTCAAATGCTGAGATGTAAACAAAGTCATTCAAAGTGGTTTGATGATAAATGGTGGATTGTAGAGATACTTACTGACAGATTTTTTGATGATAGGAACCAGGGGGTTGCGATATCTACAATGCAAATCTAGGCCTAGACATTTAATTTGCAATTCAAAATGAAATGGCTGTATGGTAACTGGAAAAACTACCGTAAAACATTGTCTCAGGCACCAAGGCAGTACATTCAGAAGCATTTTATGTAATTACTTTGTGTGAAGTAGAATTTAGAGGCATTAAACACTTCGGACGTCTGGTTCCTATCACCACCACTGTGAGCATCTCTGAACTGGTCTGTTTCTGAAATGGCACAGTCTTTTATTAATCTTAACTTACACAGAAATGTTAAAACATTGCTGGAATTCTCCTTTAAGTAAGAAACAGCTATTTTCTAAACACTCAGCTTCATGTTCAACAAAATGTCTTCACTGCTATGAATTACTCTCACGGTGGCACTATACTAAATATTCACATATGATACTGTTTTCCTCAAAATAAGCATGCTTTGTCATCAATATTGTAGCATTCACTGCTATTAAAGAACGCACAGAGCTAATGCACAAGTCTTTGTGCTTTATTGAAGGCTATAGTCAGCTACAGCCCTGCTGTACAGTAAGCAAGGCTTTGGCTAACAGCTAATTCTACACTCAGCTCATGTCTGCACTCTCTCGCTTCCAAGCCCCCACTGACCAGTTCTTCTTGTTGTGATGCATAAACCATGCATTCACAATCAGATTGTTTGAAAGAATAAACCCAGAGAATAACTGCCAGCGAACAATAACCCAGAATTAACATACATAATATTTCTTCAATACGCTACAATATGCTATGTTTTCTTTATTGCAACCAATAAAGAACACATGCATCAGCTATAAGATGTGCCTGGAGCCTTTTAGGTTTAACATCCTAGCAATAAAATCCACCTTGCTGTGTTGTTTGGGTGCATTAAATAAAGATGAAAATATTTTAACTGACAGATTTGAACTCAACATATAGTTATGCATCACTACTGTAACAAAGCTTTGTATCTCTGACTGCAGCGTATTCCTGCTGTAGTGCTGGTTTAGCTGGTCACATAGCATTTTAGCTTGTGTTAGCTTTCCAGCTAGATATATTTAAAATGAAATTTCAGGTTAAAGTCAGCATGTGGGGGAGTAACTATTATCATCATCCCAATGCTCAGCAAACATTAATTATAAAACGTGCATTTTTAAAATCTCAAAGAGTAAATATGGATCAGTGGGACACTGGATTTCCATGATCACCTCATATCTTTGTTGTTGTTTACTTCCTTCCAGTGGACAGCATTGTCTCAGACGACTCCTGCGAGTACTACCAGACTGACATCTATGAGCAACTGCCCAGTTCACTGTCCAGGCGGAGGTGCCAACACAGGGATCAGGCTCAGGAGGATGATGATTATGAGGATTTTGAGTATGTTTCACTTCTGAACAGAGATTGGAGCTCCACACAACCACTGAGGACGCTGCCCTTGTCTCTGCAGGAAAAGAAGGAAATCAGGTTTGTAAAGAGAAACTCACCCATATGCAGAAAGCTGGTTTAATTGCCTCATCCAGGAGCAAACCTGGGTCAGAGGGCACTGGAACAGAGCGCCGGCACCCCCTCAAAATTTGTCTGTTTTTGCCACCACACATGACATACTCCTCATATTTTTATTCCAATTTTCAAAATTATGTATGTATGAATTCCTTCCTGCTGTTTCACAGTATTTTAATTTAACATACCTAATTGAATACATTTGTGACATTTTTTCTTACAGTGGACCTATTCAGGGTCATCCCTATGTTCCCAGAGTTCTATGTTCCCAGGTTCTTTACTTTTATCATTGAAGTTTATAGGAGCCAGGCTTATGTTTCCAGGGCCCTCTGTTCCTCAACCCAAAGTTCCTTCTTTGTACATTTTAGACATAGTCTTATATTCCCAGGATCCTATGTTTCCTCATTGAAATTTTCATAGGAAATAGCTCTATGTTCCCATGTAACCTCAATCTTATTTACTCAACATGATTGTAAAACTAACATCTATACTTCTGGAATATTTGCTGATGTTATGGCACTTTCTGTGAATAGAGTTCATTTTATGCCTTTAAAAATGTACATGTTTCTTTGGTATCTTATTGAAGTATATAATCAAAGTTAGTGTGTAACCCTCAGAAGATGTTACTTTCTCACCTCAGGCTGTCAAATCAGATAGTTCAGCTGTTTTCACAAGGTTGATGCGAGTAACAAGGTTGAACATAGAGGGCATATTTCTCATTTAGTTGACATTGATGCAGTAAAATATAACATATAAAGTATGCAAGGAAGAGTTAAAAAGTTATTTTGATCAAAATATTATGTTATGATCAAAATATTTGTTTCAAGCCATTTTTATTTCATTTTCATTTCAAATAATTGAAGGTTAAGAAATGCCCGGGGCTGTAAAAAGGAAAAATTCAGGAGTGGCGCTTGACAGAGTGCACATGTTGTATGCTATCTATTAATGACCATGTAGTTTACATAAATATACAAAATATAAATATGCATTTTTTTCCAACAATAATTTTGATAACTGGGTTGAAAGATCAAGCTTTACACATGCAGCCAAATATTTGTGTGTTTGTATGTGTGTGTGTGTGAAAATGTAATGAGAATACTTAATTGCCTCAGGGTCATTCTGAATAAACAACAAGATGCTAAGACATGAAGGCATTTTTTTTTTAGATAACCAAGTTTTCTTGTTTTCAGAACCAAGTTTTCATGTCTCTTGTATTGTCTGTAATACCGTCCCTTAAAAACAGAAGGAGCTGCTCCAAGCAGACTAAGGACATTAAGGGTTCTTAATGTAACATGAGAGGCATCATTGTTGTTTATTTTGGGAGTTTAAAGGCTTAAGTTTGACTTTTACCTTTGTTTAGATATAGTTTTGATGCCAAAACCGTCAAACAAGGAATACTAAACAATAGCAAACTGATTAAATCAGTTCATTTAATCATGCCATCAAGACAGAAACAGAGAGGCTATTAGTTTTAATAACATTTTCATGATATCAGTGCTGAGAAATATAATTATTTTTATGTTTGAGACAGCCATGGAAAACATAAACACATCCAATTTAGCCTGTGGGCTAATCAAATGGCTTTGAAAAAGAAGGCAAGCGTTGTCTCATCAAGGGATCAAGGCCATGTTAACCCAAAGGGCTTAAGGGGCTGCAACTCTGGGCCCTGGCAACCAGGGGGACTCGCAAGTATGACAAACAGAGAAATGGTGGAACTTGTCCTTTTAGACTCCTTCCAGGTAACAGTCTGGACAGTATTCTGCCTTATTAAGCAAATCTGATTCACTTATTAGCTACTTAGCAAGACTTTGTATTAGGAGAGCTAGAAAATGCTGATCTCTGCAGAGCTGTGGCCTGGAATGGAGTTTGACATGCCTGATTTAGATTATCCACAGCTTTGCAAGGGGTTTCTTTTAATCTGCATCTAACATCACAATTAACATGTCCATACAATTACAGACATACGCTGTGCCAACAGGGTTCTTTAGAGCAATAGCATTAAAGGACCACTTTTGGTTCCCTAAAGAAACTTTCAATTGATGATTCTTTAAAGAACTTTTGTAAATGAGATGTGTGAGCGTAAAGTGCATTTTCAAAGTCAGAGCTTAATGTAATTTAAAGATTTTCTACAAATCAGAACATTTTCCTAGAACCAAATGTGCAAGCTAAAAACCACTATGGGATTATTTGTAGCGACTGTTGGTGAAATTTAGCCTAGATTAAAGATTAAATAAATAAATACCATAGTAGCATGTTGATGTGTCCCCCCACCACTTGCCTCTTTTGGCACCCCCCTGTTTCAGTCCTGCATTGAACTGTTTGTGTCTTCTGTACTTGGGAAAGGGGTTTAACTCATGCTAGGAAGTTCAGTACTCTTATTAAAGTGTGACTGTTAGGCTTATTCTGATGTACAACAATGTTAAACATTCTTTATGTCCATGGTATAGAAGCAGGGGTCCAAAGCTAGAGTTACTCCAGGGTCCCAGAATTTCTTAGTACAGACATAATAAGCCAGAATGAGTCCCCTCTCCTGAGATACATTATATTTCTTGCCTATCAGGGAGAAAAGAAACCAAGAAAGACTCAGCATCAGTCCCTGGAAATCATGGAGGCAGAGTCAGCAAATTGCAAGGAAGCGACTGAGGGAGCAGCTGGAGAGGTTCTTCTCAGGATTATTGCCATGGAAACGGACCCTCTATAAAATTGAAGGTGAGAATATATACACTCAGTGTTTATGTGCATGCTGCTTTGTGCTTCCACTCAATGGCCACTCTATGAGCTCTGCCTACATTATAGGCCCATCAAATAGGTGAATGATCATGACTGTAGCCCATCTGTTATACTTCATTTTGTCAGCCCCTCTGACCTAATTCATCATAGGTCAGTTTCTGTTCACAGGACTGCTGCTGATACAGCAGCGACACTAACATGCTACTGTTTGTGGTGCTGGTGCGAGTGTACTAGACACAGTGGTGTCGCTGTGGTTTTTACCCACCCAGTGGGTTGAGAGCAAAAAGTGGCTCTGTGTGCACAGTCTTAAAACAGAAGTGTTAAAAACATGCTGTGTCTTTAACTAGACACATAGATGAAAGGGCAACATATTTCATGTTACTTTTTACACAAAATGTGTTAAAACAGATTACACAAAAAGTGCGTTATTGACTGGCAATCAGGACCAGATTTGAACATTTGGGGGCCCGAAGCAACATCCTGCTTGGGCCCGTCACCAGATCCCAGTTATATTCTTTTGTAAGCAAGTATAGAAAAATAATTACCGTGTCATGACTCAGTGAGCTTTTTCTACAAATAAATCAAATACACATGTTCAAATCACAATCAAGTTACATGTTTTATTGATTTTCTAAGTGAAAATAATTGAACACGTCCTCTACGGAGAACACACTACTGCACATTTTAATGCATAATTACTGCCTATTTGCTGAATCTACCACAAAGGAAAAAACAAAAAGTGTGGCAAAAGTTATGGAACATTGTATATTTTGCTTTTTTATGTGTTAAACTCAGTAAATAAATAGAAATTGTGGACTTAAATGTGCAGATAAAATGCTATAATTAAGTTACCGGTTCTTTTTGGTGCCATTTAGAACCATTTTTGAAAGGGTTATAGAACCATTTAAGCATGCAAATGGTTCTTTGAGTGTTCATGGTTCTACATAACCATTGTCTTTATTAAAGAACCCTTGAAGAATCATCTTTTTTTTAAGAGTGTAGAATCTAAGAATCTATCGCTATGAGCTATCGTTTGATTGTAACAAAAACCTGCAGCCACGCTAGAACCTTTGTGAATGGGTGACCCCTGGACTAGAAAATAGGCAAAACATGTTGTGCAGCCACAGATGGGTTACAAGGTTTCCAATAAAGTGGCCAGTGAGTGTACTGTAGTGTGTATATGCATTTCTCTGTTGTCGTAAGAAAACGCCGCATCTCAATTTTTAATGTTTTTCAGTTTTTGACATAATTTACAAATACCTGTTACCCTTTACATTGTGTGTGAATTTTATGATGAATGGATTAAAAGAAATGACCTAAACGGACTTGGAAAAATTGTGGTTCCATTGACTTATATTAAAAGTTATGTAGGTTTTTTCCATCTCCTGTAAAGTTACCATTTTGGAGATACAAGGTTTTCTCCTGACAACAGCAATTTAATGGGCTTGCAGTATTACTGCCTAAGGCTGCATGATATGGAATACTGTGTTGTGAATGCAGGTGGATTCGGCGTGGGGGTGAAGGCCTATTTTGTGTTTCTGAGGTACCTCCTGTGCCTGAACCTTTTGAACTGTGTTATCATCGCTGGATCTGTGCTTATTCCTTCACTGACTGTGGAAAGTAAAAGCACACGCTGTAAGTGCTGTGAAACACTGATCACTGAAGAATTATTTGAGTCTCTCCACTGGCTTTGTTTGACCTGTGTTTCAAAACGTTATTCCTGTTTCATAGGGGACTGGACAATCTGCAAGAATGATTCCGTTTTAGACATTTTCCTGGGCTCGGTGAGTTGCTTCCACAGATCTTTTATGGACAGCAAAACATTATTTATAGGTGGAGCGCAGAGTCAAACAGGGTCAGTATTCTAGGTGTCAGGCATGATGGGTCCCTCTTTGTTTGCTGTCACAGTTGCTTTTTGGACGTGTTTTGATTAGAAGAAATCAGTTATTATTTCGCCACTTTGTATTTTGTTTCATAGTCAAGATCAAGACTCAAATATGTCAAAGGCCAAGTTTTAACTAGTCATTAACAGCTTTCCATCCAAATTTCTTGGCCTTTTCACATTTATTTTTGTTCACTATGTTAAACCAAGCAAATAAACAGTGATTGTGCATTAACATGTGCAGAAGTGTTTGTGTAACTTAGTTTCACTTAGAAAAACAAGAAAACGTAATTTGACTGTGGGTGCCAAATCTTTTGCAAATGACTGGATGTAATAAGTAAGCTTTGTGTTCTCTTTATATGCTGTATCGACTGTCAGGAATAGACATAAACATGGCAAAATTGTAATGTTTTTTCCTGCAAGACAAAACTATGTATAACAACAACTCAATCAAATTCAAATTATAATCTATATTTTTAAAAATCACACAAATGTGTTTGTTTTCTGATACAGCTGGCTAAATCCAACACAAACCAATACAATGTTTTAGTTTGGGGTAGTTTTAGTACAAGTTGGTGTGTGATAAAAACACAATAAAGCCCATAGGTTTACTTGCATTGTGGTCCTCTGAAAGATTTCAAGATGAAAATTGCTTTAAAATGATACAGCTTCTCAATTTCATGTAATTTAGCAGCTATTTCTTCAGAACATATTGAAAGCTACTCTCCACTTGAAAATGTTTAATAGGAAGTTTCTTCCACATAACTGAAGCTGTATATGGACCAATATACTGAATTAGTTGAAACTGCCATCCCATGTTAAAAAAGCAAAAAACAATCATGTTAAGATCCTGTTTAAACCCAAGGTATTAATTGAGATAGTAATAAGCTAAACATGTACAAATCATAATTTATAAGGTATGTTCTATTGGGAGGTGTCTGTTCCAAAGCCTAACCCCTAAATTTCAACTAGAAAAAAATGTGTACATTTATTTATATATATATATATATATATATAGATTCATTAATAATAAAATTTTTAAATTAGACATTTTCATGTCACTACTGAAACACACAGTGTGTCCCGATTCAGGGGCTGGATCCTTCGAAGGACGCAGTCTACGTAGTCTGTGTAGACCCGCGAAGGCTGAAGTGAAATGAGACGGTCTGCCCTACGGCGGATTTTCTGTTTGCCTCACGGCACCGCTGTTCCCACCCTTACCGTTGTGCTTTTGTCAAGTTCTTTTAAAGTTCTTTAAAGATGGAGCCAGAAACTTTGATTTTAGTTTTTTATTTACATTCATTAGAGCTGGAGATGCTTCACCGCCGCCTACTGATGAAATGTATCATTATCAAATCGCCTCAGTTTAAACCAAATACCTATATTTAAAAGTGTCTGTGCCGCAATCGGCCTTCAAATGCAGCCTCCGAAGGACACAGCCCCTGAATTGGGACCCACTGACAAAGAGTTTTAGTCCTAAGGCGGAGGCTTATTTTAGCCACACCTCTGCGTTTTAGAGCAGGAAGTGAGACTGCTTCCCTGTCCCTCATGGCCACGTGGTGAGCAGTTAGATCCGATTGTTTTTAACAGAAGGCATCCTGATTCCAAAATTAAAATCAGTGCAGTAAAAGGAATGAAAGAATAGCTAAAGAACAATGGAAAGTACATATCTTTGGACTCAGTGAGCTTTTTCTACAAATAAATCAAGTACTTTTTGACAAGTACATACTTGGGGGCCGCCTGGCGGCCCTAAACGATTGAATGTGTTTTGTTGCGGAGAAGATATGTTGTGTTACTTTGAAGCAGGGGTCACCAATTTTATCTGCAAACGGCCAGAGTGGCTTCAGGTTTTCATTGCAACCAACAGTAACACACCTCATACAGTCATATGCCGAAGTTTAAATCACCGTTCAAATTACAGTCGAGTTACACGTTTGGTTGATTGTCTAAGTGAAAGTAAGTTAACACATCCTCTACAGAAAACACACTTCTGCATGTTTTAATGCACAATTACTGAATTGCCGAATTGAACATATTGGAAAAAACCATGAAGCGTGGCCTGTGCAAAAGTTATGGCACATTTTATATTTTACTTTTTTCATGTGACTGGAGCCACAACTGTAGCTAAAGAGTGATGGAAGTCTGGGTCACCTAAAGTCTTTGTAGCTGCATAGCTCCTATGCAAAACTTGGTACACCAAACATATTAGGGGTGATCAACAACATTTTGGGTAAAGAGGAAATTTTTTGCTTGTGAATGTTATGCTTTGTAGAACTTTCCCTGTAAAGCAATCAGAAAGAGGTGGTCAGGTAAGGCGGAGGTCAAGTAAAGTTTATTTTCATTATTTTGTGATATTGGTAGTCCCACCATCTTAAAGCTAAATTGAGCAGTTATCTAAAAGCTGTCTAAAGTGTCTGTATTTTCAAACAACAGACTGAATAGCATAGTAAATTTACACCATAAATATGTGCATCCTGGTTTTACACAATGATAAGATAGGCCTAAAACTTCTGAGCCCCACCCACTCCTCTGGTTCATTCTGACCTTCTTCGGTCTGTGATTAATCTCACATTTCTTTTTCCATCACTCTTTTTGTTTTTGCAGGGCTGTCTGGAACGTTCCCCAATCTTCTATGAATTCTACAAACCCCTAGGGTCTAAATGTTCGAACACATCTTTTCTCTTCTTCGCTGGCATGGTCTCCATCCTGGTCCTCAGTCTCATCATGATAGTGCACAGGTCAGACTGCTGTCTGTTTCCCTACTGAGAGGTGGAAGTGTGGGTGTAGATCTGCAAGCGAACTACATCATCACTCAGTACCAGTCATGTACATGGAAGAACCAAAACAGTATGACCACCTGCCTAATATACTGTTCGTCTTCTACATGTCACCAGCTACGACCTGTTAAATGGTTGTGAGAAACAAAATCATTCAGACGTGTAATGCTCCGTTCTAGAGAAACTTGCCGAGTCAGGATTGTTTACAGTGGTCTTGGTAGGAACCAGACTTCTGACGAGTTTAATGCCTCTAAAAGGCCCATAAACAGAAAGTTATTACATGTGATGGTTAGATATGTTGCCTGATGTCTGACACACTGTTGTATGATAGTTTTGTGATAAAGTTTTGGCTTTAAATTCATTTTAATCCATTTACTTTAATCTATTCATGACAGGGAAAATAGTTCCCAATGAAAACTTATTTTTGCAGATTTATGACTATTTATCATTATCATCATTACATATAAAACACAGAAGGCACATGTAGGTTCACTGGTGGTTTCGGATAGTAAATAAAATGGCTATATTTGTGTTGTAGACATTGTGACCGCTGGTTCCTATGACCACCACTGTAAAGAAAACCACTCTTAATGCCTCATTTTACGTCTCAAGGGCTGAATTATTTAGAAATTTTGAAAAAAAATGGTTGAATTCCCCTTTAAGGCGTGAACTCAACAAGACTTCTGAAGGTGACCTGTGGTATCTGGCATCAAGACTTTAGCAGCAGATCCTTTAAGTCTCGTAAATTGCAAGGTGGAGCCGATGCGGTTCAGACTTGTTGTTCCAGCACATCCCACAGATGCTCAGTCGGATAGAGATCTGGGGAATTTGGAGGTCCGAACAACACCTTGAATGTGTCATGTTCCTCAAACCATTGCTGAACAGTGTGTACAGTTTGGCATTTGGGGTTAATAGCAATGCCATGAAGGGGTGTACCTTGTCCGCAATAATGTTTACGTAGGTGGCATGTACCAAATGGAGAGCATCACATTCCCTCTACTGGCTTGTATTCTTCGTACAGTGCATCCTGGTGCCATCAATTCTCCATGTAAAACACCGCACACATACTCGGCCAAGAATCATTAGACCAGATGACCTCCTTCCATTGCTCCAAAGTCCAGTTTCAACGCTAACTGCGTTGGAACTCTAACCGGCATCCAGCTACCCAGCCTCATAACGAGCAAGGTGTAATGCATAGTGTGTTGTGACTCACTCCTCCTTTAAACATCACTAAACATTTTAGTGACTTGTGCCACAGTAGCCCTTTTATCGGTTCGGACCAAAAAGAGTAGCCTTCGTTGACCTTCAATGAGCCTTGGATGCCTAAAACACTGTCACCTGTTCGTGGTGTGTCCCTCCTCGATCCACTGTTGGTAGATACTCGACATTGCTGACCGGGAGCACCCCACAAGCCAAGTCAATTCAGAGATCCTCCAACCCAGTCGTCTGGCCATGTCAAAGTCACTCAGGTCTTCATGCCAGCCTATCTCTTCCACATCCAACACATTTTGGCTCATCGGTGTACATCTACATTTTACTTTTGTACTGCATGGATTACGGTTAATTCATACTTCAACATGCATTCATTCATTAGAATAAATTTCCAGATGATCTGTTTCTAGAGCCTTGTAAACTCTACATTGCATTAAAACTCATTACTGTTTTCTGCCAGAATAAAAACAATAGGCCCTTTTGAATATTGTTATGTACATACTGTATTTCACACAGTTTAGAGTTTGGAGTTCGGCTCTAAATGGGAGATGTTGATGTCATATGATGAATTACATGTGGTCAAATGAAAAACTGACAACTGGCTTTCTTTCTTTTCCAGAACGGTGGTGGGCTATAAGCACACCTGGCTGACCGGGAACAGTTTCACTGTGAACATGAGCAAAAAGATCTTCTGTGGATGGGACTTCTGTATCCAGGATGCTCGAGCAGCCTCACTCAAACACAGCTTCATCAGAAATGAACTCAAGGTGTGAATTGAATTGATCAAAATGTCACACACTTAAACTGTTGTACTGCGTAATAAAATATATAATATGATCAATAATAGAATTCTTCCCAAAATAAGCAAACTTAAAAGTCAATTCAAAAGATTTGTCAAAATGTGGGCAGAATCAGTCAGTTAAGATGTACACCAAGTTTTTCGAAGTGGTTTGATGTGATCTGATCTAAAGAAATGTACAGTCAGAATGTTTCTCAGTGTTGGCGATAGGAACCAAACGTCCAAAATATATAATTCAACTAATGAACGAATTAACAAGCCCTTCCTGGGGTGAAGTAGGTGTGTTAGAGCAGGAAAGACATGACACTTGCAGGGCAATGGTACTCCAGGGCCAGGATTCAGAACCGCTGTTCTAAAGACTACCTCGCAGAACGTTATTATTGGCAATTTGTAAGAAATACACAGCCTGATGCCTAAGACGTTGTTTTAAGGTCTTAGCCTAAAATGTATTTTTTTAATTGATCCATTGCAGATAGGTATATGCAGGGCATTGTAAGACAAACAGTCCTCAAAGAAAACTTTTTCTTTTCAGACTTACTATTATTTTACCATCATCAACATTGCATAAACTCTGAAGACATGTGTAGGTTTACTGGTCATTTTGGATAAAAATCCAAATAAAATAGCTGTTATTGCACTGTAGATGCTGAGGCCCCTGCGGTCACATTCACAAAACATTTGATCTTAAAATGATCGTATGTGAAAACTCCTGTTTAAGTAATGATTTCTAAGATGTGAATTTTATATAAAATTGTGTTTAGATGACCGCAGCTTGACAGTGACAGTGTATTACAGGCTTTGCAGTGCACAAGGCTTTAAAATAATCTAAATAAGGCATCGTTTTGAAATAGATAGCCAATAGAAAGTATGTTGTAAAGAGTTAGTAAGTTTCTCTACAATTTCACATCAAACCACTCTGAATGACTGTTTACGTCTCAATCATTGATTTATGTAGAAATTATAAAACAACTATGGAATTCCCCTTCAAAGATGGTCATTGCGTTGATGTAACACGTTTTATTCATGTGCAACCATCTGACACAATCTTCTTCAGTGAAATTATAAATGTCATGCTAATCGCACAGCGGAACACAACAAGATGAAAAATCTCAGACCAGAAGAGGTTCAGAAGAACCCCTATTCTCAGTTCTGAGGTGTTTTTTTATAGAATGAACTCTCTCTGTTGTCGTAGATGGACCTGGAGGAGCAGAGATTTCGTCTGAAGGTCTCCCAGCGCACACTAAAGCAGTGGGTGATCCTCTGCTTCCTGCGAGCTGCTCTCAACTTTTTGGTGCTGCTTCTTCTGGGCGGCTCCTTCGCCTTGATCTACTTCGCCTCTAAAGCCTCTCAGAAGGTGAGTTAAGATGGAGGAAAGATTGAAAAGAAAACTAGATTTCCGACTTAAATAATAGAACACCTGAGTATGCGAATAAACGTTAAAGTTAAGAATAACAGCATTAATTAAAGATATACTTTATGAACCAAAACCTTATCGGCCACATCTGTTGCAGATGATTGATCAGCACAGACAGTAATTTTCCTATATGTAGAACCTGTTGACCTGTTTGCATGCTTATAAAAGAAGCTGAAGCATGCTGGTTACATGATGAACTCGTGATTATACATTATTGGACTTGTGGCTTTACATTAAACCAGAAACACTATGAAGGAGACAGTTCATTGTTTGGAAAATGAATAGGAAAGATTGTAGCTCTCAACATGGTGTCTGTTTATGGGGAAAGCCCCACCCTTCAATAAATAGAGCCAATCAGCTTGCGAGTAAAGCTGCAAATGGGAAAATTATAGGATTAGAGGGAACATTATATATAATATAGGTGATTGTTTTAACCCCTACCTGGCACAAACAGGCTACCATAAATACCTGCTCTATTTCAGTACATAGCATCACATTACACATGAAAAATGGAAACTCTTTTCTGTTTCTTTCTGTCTCTCTTCAGAAAATTGATATCCACTGGACTCTGAACCTCTTCTGGGAGTACCTTCCCCCCATCACTATCACATTAGTCAACTTACTGCTGCCACAGCTGTTCAACACCATCTCCGTGTTTGAAGACTACTCTCTCACCACCCAGCTTAATCTCACTTTAGTCCGGTAGGAAGGCTTGACGTTTCATTTCTAACCCTCTGGATGTGTTCTCATCATATTGCACCTGTTCTTGGGTGCCAACTGGGGTTAAACATTTTGGGGCCAAAAAAAGAAGAGAATTTTGAATTTACATCCTAATCTGATGGCAGACATTTAGTTTGGGCTGAGGACATTGAAATGAGAGCAGGAATAGTGGGTGAATATATTGAAAATAATTTAGTTTGTTTTTCATTATCATACACTTTCACACTTTTGGGGAAAAATCACTTGCATGGCTTTGCACTGATCTCATCTCATAATATTATGATCAGATCATTTACTGGAAAATAGTACGTGATTTGCTCAAAGCGTTAATTAATAGTATCATTATTAAGTGAAAATATTTTTATTTTTAAACACTACCTCTGTGTGGTGAGGTCACGACTGATGCAGAACATCGAAAATACAGTGAAATAAGCCATAACAATCAATGAAAATGAAACTGAAAATTGAAAAAAAAAAAATTGAACGGGAAAATTCTTTCAGTTATGACGGTTATCCAACAAAATTCTAGTGAAACAGTCATTGCTGAAACAGATTTCCCAGGTTTGAAATGATTGCTCAATCACAAGTCAGAATGGGGTCAAGGTTTAAACAAGCTGTTTCCAGACTGTTCTGTGCAGCGCTGCCCCCCCTTCTTTAGTTCTGGGGAGTCGAACCACCCAGTGCCCCCCTCATAGTTGTCACCTCTGCAGCTGCTTAACCCCTTAAATGGTCAGGGCCCACCAGCAGGCCCAAAGTTTTATTACACACTTCTATATCCTAAGAATAACTCAGCCAGTTTGCACTGTGGTCCAAGTAATACTGAATAATAAGCCTTAGTATGTAATAAGCCTGGGGTATAAGCCCTTTTTTTAGTCTTGGGCACTCGACTACATTTGTGATAACAGGAAAATTGTGCAGATTTGATTTTTAGCTGAACAGCTTTAAGTTTTGTGCACATTATTAGTACTATTGTTACTCAGATTGATCTCTGTTAATGATGTAATGAAGTTGCACTGCAATTAAAACCTGCACTGTATCTGATTTATGAGAATTCAGTGTTTGTGTCCAACAGGAGTATCTTCCTAAAGCTTGCAAGTTTAGGCATCTTCCTCTTCTTCCTCATCAGAAAACCTATTACAGAAGGCAAGGTGAGATGTACATTCAAATAACTGGCCGACACAAAAACTACATACACTAAATAGACCTGTAAAATACAAGCAGAGTATCTGTACACATACTATTTCTGTCACATTGAGTGTGCTCACATGCACACCGACAATACGATAATAATTGGATTTCGGCAGTTATCTAATTATTCAAGTGGTCATGTAAGCGTTCTCCTATTTCTTAGTTTGGATTAAGCCCAGGATTTCTAGAAATCTGATTAAGAGAATGGAATGTAGCTCAGTAATCTGTATTTTCAGCACATGTATATGCTTACTCTGATTTCTTTCGTTCAGTCTGAGCATGTGCGAAAACTGAGCACTGCACTGGAAACAGCGAGCAATGTTTCACACACCGCCTGCGAGATGGCAAGAAAACACTTTTGGAATAATGCTGTAACCAACTTCATGCTTGACGACACAAAGAATTTAAATAGAAAATATATAACTAGATGACGCACGTTTGTCATCAAAAAGTTTTCCGTTACATTTACGTCACATCTTCTGTGAATTTATTAGCTGCTTGCAAAGCAGAAATCTGATTACTGCCTGACTCATGTAGACCCGGAGTTTTCCATTATCTGATTACCCAAGTGAATGTAAACACGTTGAACAAATTACTGACCTCCCTGCTAAAAAAAAATAGAACCATTAGGATTAAAACCTGATGGATTACTTTATAATGGGAATTGGCTTAATGGTTACCATTAGAGAAAATTGGAATCAGTTGGTAAATATCTGTTAAACCATTAGAATCCTTAACATTGTGATATCAACCCATCAGGAAAACACAGAATACCAGTAGTGACTACTGGACAGCACAAGGAACCAACAGAAACCTTTAATGGTTTCTATGATTTTTTTCAGCAGGGAAAAGATTTTCTGCTGTTGACAGAACGTTAAGTGCATGTAAACACACTCACTGACTTGCTCTGACTGAATGTGTGTGTATTTTTCAGTGTGACGAGACTGAGTTTGGGAAGGAAATGTACAAACTCACTGTATTTCACCTCTTGGCCTGTGTCTGCGGTGTTCTAGTGGCCTATCCCAGAACGTAAGATTTCTTGCCTCATCATGTCGTCAGAGGATTAGTCTGACAGTATTTTCAAAAAGAAAAAAGATAATTTGTGAAATCATGACATTTATGGACAATGTGATTTTTGTGATCGTAAATACTTACAGTTATGGTTTTACCAGAAAGTCAGATGTTCAGTTGTTTGATGAGCTTTGCTTCTGTATTTTTATGCTGGAGCTAGGAGGCTAATGTAGCTAACAACTACTGGCAAACAGTTAGCATTCTGTAAACTGCATGCCAAAATCACCTCACACTTGCCTTAAACTGTGTCCAGTTCAGACTTCATATGTGTCGGGCTTGGGTCGTGTTTAGGTTCTCCCAGCCTGCCTCCCATATTTTACAGATCAGATGTTCAAACAGTGTAAAATACAGTATCTTCTATTGCAGAAATAGAGTCTTAAGATTAAACAGGTAAAGGCTTATATTTTGCTTTATTAGCATTGCGCACAATGAGAACAGCAGTTTTCATCCAGACTAAAAACGTTTGAGATGTTTTTTCCAAAGCATTGCTTAATTAATAAAATATAAAAAATTTATAGTAGAATTTAGACTAAATAGACTTTTTTTTAATTATGGCACGTTATTTTACATTGTTTATATTTTAGTTATCAATGATTTAATAACGGCTATTATTGTCTCTACACAGTAACTTCATGTAGTAGCCACCCTGTCAGGTTTAATCTGATACTTTGAGTACCGTTACGGGTAAGTTTTGGACAACATCTTGTTGTACTCGGGTCAATTTCTGACAATGTCCTTCAGGTTGGGCTGGGTTGAGTTCAGACAGAATTTTGTCAGGTTCAGCTCAGGTTCAAACCCATATGCAATGTGTGTCGGTGTGGGCCGTATTCATGTTTGTATCAGGCTGTATTCATGTTTGGACAAAAAGTTCAGGCCCAAATAAGCTTATCAATAATAATGGATAAAAACACAGACAAGACTGAGATTTGAAGATGGGTACTACAACTGTTTTTTAGCTGTGCAATACAGAAAATATCCAAACAGCCACATAAGCAGTTCTATTTGAAATGACTTAACAAGTGTGGGGTTGAGATAAGTGTGTGATGATTTAAGCATGCAGTTTGTGCAGTGCTAGTCACAGTACATTGCTTGTTAGCTAGCTTAGCCTTGTAGTTTCTGTGCAAAACAAAAGAACTAAACTTGTGACACCAAACATATCATATGGCTAACTGGCTACATAAGTTATATGACTGCCATTTCTTATCAAGTACCAGGTGCTTTATTTGCTCTTTTTGTCCTTAACTGCTCCCCATAGTTTGCTAGTAGAGAAGTGTCCCTCCTCTAAGCTGGCAAAGAAGGTAGGCAAGCCAGAGTTTGTGATCCCCTTAAACGTGTTGGACCTGGTCTACAGTCAGACAGTCATTTGGGTGGGAGTCTTCTACTGCCCCCTTCTGCCAGCCATCAGTATTTTAAAGCTACTGGCTATCTTCTACATGAAGAAGGTGTGTAGGCCATACTGTGTTAGTACATACTTTTATTTAAATGGAACCGTATGGTTTCAAATGCAGCCACATGTTAAAGCATTTTGTCTTACCTGCTCTCCAGTTCACTGTGGTACGGTGTTGCGTTCCGGCTCAGAGAATGTTCCGGACCACCAGCTCTTCGGTTCTGTTTAATTTCATGCTCCTACTGGGCCTCATCATGTCTGCAGTGGCACTTGGGATCAACATCAATAGGTATAACAGTGCTGGATTTAAATAAGGATTATTAGTTACGAATTAGAGACCATTCAAACAGGTAATGTTACTTAAAGCCCACACTTCTCCCGCTGTGTCTGCTCCTGCTCAGGTTTGCGAGAGGTCAATGCGGGCCGTTCATTGGAGAAAATTTTTTGTTTAATGTGACCAGTGACTGCGTGGGGATGCTTCCACCCCCTGCTCAGAACGCCATACGTTACATCACTTCTGAGGCCTTTGCATTCGCTCTCATATTGGCTGAGGCGTAAGTACTTTATACATATTGTATTTTTTTAACTAAAAAAAAAAGCATAACATTTTTTTTGGTCAGTTTTAGGATTAGACATTTTACTTATATATATAATACATTATGGACATATTATTACATGTAGGTACTTGCACTTGTATAATACATTATAGACATACTATTACATGTAGGTACTTGCACATATATAATACATATAGGATATATTATGTATAGGTACTTCCACATTCATTGCTGTCTAAAAACTCCAAAATAGTAAATTTACAATAAAAGGCAAAATTGTTCTTAACTTTTAATGCAGGTTAAATTACTTAGATCTTTACAGTTTTGAAGAGTTTCTGTTGGTCCAAGAGTTTAAATTGTGTCCAACACACAATTTAAAAGTGCTGTGTTTAAATTATGTTTTTTGGACAGCAACAATATGGGACATGTTATTACATACAGGTACCTACACACTCTCACACACACACACACACACACATATATATATGGTATATTTATATATATATATATATATATATATATATATATATATATATATATATATATATATAAGAAATGCATATGTAACATTATTATTAAATATATGTGCTTACACAGACAGAAATAAATGGAATATATGATTACTACTATAGATCCATACATATGTAATATATATGTGTGTTTGAATATTCATTTACGTACTATCTGTATTATAATTTTACAGTATCATCCTGACATCCTTTGTCTCTCGGGGAACAGCCAATCGCAAGGCCATAGAAAGACTGAAGGACATGCTAGTTATGGTAAGTGTAGATACTGAAGCAGAAGGTTACAGTTTTCCTACTGTGGAACAAATCGTCGCCTACATAGCAACATCTTGTATCTCCGAAATGGCAACTTCATAGGTGAAGGAAAAACAAACACTCATAAATTTAGTGTATGTTAGCGTAACAAGATTTCATTCCAAGTAGTTCTGAACCTTGTTTATTTGTCTATTGATTAGGAAATGTTCACACAATGTGAAGAGGCAGGTATTTTCAAATGGAATAAAAAAAGGTTTTGTTATGACACTGAAAAAAATATTACAGGGTTCAAGGGGTTCATGTTTTGACTTTTAAACTGTATTATTCAGATTTGTTAAGCTCAGTTCTGCCAGTAGATCAGTAAAGTTTAATGAACAGCACTGTTCCTGGGTTTGGCTTAAAACACAGAGCTATATTAATGTCTTGTGTCATGTTCACCTTCTTGCCTTGCAGTATAGTTCAGATAAGCGTTTCCTGGTAAAGCACCACTCCACACTGGCCAAGAGACAGAAGAAGACCCAAAGGAACACATAGGAGATGGCTGATTATGTATCCAACATATCAAGAGAGTTCTCATAACTGTGTTTCTCTGAAACATGGCTTACACTCAGATGGATACCCACATAAAATGCTATTAGTAAAGTAGGTCTCAGAGCAGATACTAGTAGAGTGGGGGAAAAGGTTGAGCCTCAGTATTAGCCTCAGTATCAGATTCTACAAAGACATTGTGTGTGTTTTTTTTTTTGGTTTTTTTTTGCATTTTTGGTAAACCATGCTGTAAAAGACAGGTGCTATCATAAAACAATGAATGTTAATTAGCAGCTACTAGCTTCACTTCACTGTTAGCCACATTAGCATGTTTGGTAAAGCTATTTCTTTAAATGTTAGTTTAAAAAAAGTGGTATTTTTCTAAAGTTTTTTATTTAAAGTTATGTAATGTGTAATGCTGTTGACTTCTAATCTGCTGTAAAAGTATAACTTTGTATAAAGTCTTTCAAGCCATCCTCAATAAATTCTGCTGGACAGAAAAATGGGTGTGGTTTCTGTTAGCTCTACTTTGAGCCGTTGCTGAAAAAGTCATAAGCATGAGCTTTTTATCTGTGGCTTACACATGGTCAGGAGGAGCTGCGCACTGCATGCATGCACACATGCACACATTCAGTCATGACCTAATACATATAAAGCTCAAGCTAAGATCACAATGCTAGCAGAGGAGTAAGCGAGCTCCAGAATGGGAAAGAACTTGGGCTTCCAACTAATGTCAGTCTTACGTGAGTTGCATATCCTCTCTGTATCTCTCGGCTTGAAAGGAAGACACGTGTCTTAATGCTTTATTTAGGCTTTTTCTCTCTTTGTTTTTCAGTTTTGGCTGGAGTCATAACTAAAACTGGTATATATATTTGAGACTACACAGCAGCATAAAAAAATAAAATGGATCGTAACAGCTGGATAGTGTTATTAACCTCAGTCTCTGTATTGTGTGCAGGTGGATCTCTTCCCAGGCCAAAGCTCACTGGGCCTAGCATAGCCTACGTGAAGTCTACAGTAATGTTTGAATGTAAGCTGTCTGAGACACTGTCACCTCTGACCTATGAGCTCGTAAAAGATAGTGGGGAGGTTCTTCAGACGACAGATGATTCACAGGGAGGCCAGCCAATCACATTCAGTCTGAGGGTCAACGAAAAGTCAGAGGGACAGTATTACTGCAGAGTTAGAGCAAGAGGACAAACGATTACAAGCCACGCTCTGATCTTTGAAGTAGTGAGTGAGTAAGATACATGACGTACATTTGTAAAAGTATAAATAAGAACCCAAACAGTACACTGATCTACTCAACTCTTTCATTTTCTCTCCCTCAGTCCCTGTCAGAGGCACCCACTTAGTGTCCGATCCTGACCCACCTGTCATCTACGAGGGGAAGAGGTTTACACTGAGCTGTCACGTCAGCAAGGGGACTCACCTCGCTTACATATGGTACCACAACAAACAGAAAGTGACCTCACCCTCGTCCCTCCATCGTCTCTCTGGAAACACACTGACAGTGGACAGAGCTACTGAAAGCCATGCTGGGTATTACGTGTGTACAGCCACAAACCAGATGGGGAACATCAGCAGAGCCTCCAGCAGCTTGGAGGTCAACGTTGTTGTGAAAAGTAAACACTGGTTCATTTGTTCTTTTAAACTCTTAACAAGGAATTCTATCAACTTTTCCAAATTTCTGCATAATTCAGTTTGTAGAGATGTGAAGAAAATCGTTCTGAGTGATGCATTGCATTAATACTTGCTGATTCAGATTTTGTTTCAATGGAGGTGATAGGAACCAGAAGTCATGATGTCTACAGTACAAACAAAAGCCATTTTATTTACTATTGAAATCTACCAGGAAACCAACATGTGTCTTCTGAGTTTTGTTTTATTTTCTAATAGTGGCAAAATACTGAAAAATTAAAAAAAAAAAATCATTTTTTCCTCCACTATTTCTTCACCATGAATGGATTTCAAAAATTGAAAAATGTTCTGGGCCAAAAATCTTCTCAACTTTCCTTAAAATGATTGTGAAACAATGTCTCAGGCAACATATTCATAATTATTTTATGGAATAGCTTTCTGTGTGGTAGCTTTTAGTGGCATTAAATACTTCTGACCTCTGGTTCCTATCATCATTGCTGTCAATAATTCTAACTTGGCAAGTTTCTCTAGAACAGAGCATTTCACATCAAACCACAATGAAGGACTTCATTTATATCTTAATTATTGAATTACTCAAAAAATTTGAAAAGTCTCTGGAATTCCCCTTTAAAGGCCACACTCATAACGGTATAACACATATTGTCGCTGTCCAAAACAAAACAACTATCTCTAAAATACAGCAGAAGGTAAATAAAAGAAAAATTGTAGTTTTAATGTAAGTTAAAGTAAAGACGTTTTATTCCAAGCCGTTTTGGAGCATTTCTATTATCCAGTCACCATGAAATTGCATGATGGTTCAAATGATATAAAAAAAATAGAAAGAAATGGAGACTTTTTATTTGGACAGCACTGACATTCATTACATCGTAGAGGCTGAGTAAATATTTGCAGTTACTAAATTCATTTTTAGATTAATAACTGAAGTAGAAAAGCAATACATGCTAAGTCATCATAACCTTTCTTGGCATGTGCCTTCATTTACAGAACACCTGTCAGCTCCCACGCTTTCATTCACACTCTATCATTATGGCTCTGGTTACCATGCTAATGTCAGCTGCAGATCGGAGCGTGGCAGCCCCCCAGTGAAGTTCCAGCTGCTCCTGGATGGGAAGGATGTGCCTGTGCAGCAGGAGGGTCCTCTGGAAGCCTGGTTTACTCTGCCTGTCAATGTGGGGATGGACATGGGAACACTGCAGTGCAGAGCAGAGAATGATGTCCAGCAGCTTCTCAGTGACCCAAAGGACTTGGAAGTGGGTGAGTAATATTAAAGTGATGGTTTGTATTACATTCTGTTGCTTTGAAAGTGTGCCTAGATACCCTATAATGTCCAAAAGTTTATAGACACCTGCTCATCTAGCGTTTTGTCTGAAATCAAGGTTATTAATAGGAAGTTTGTCCCCCCTTTGAGGCAGTACCAGCCTGTATACTGCTGGAAAGGCTCTACACATGATGCTGGAACACTTCTGTGAGAATTTCATTGCATTCAGCCAGAAGAGTATCAGTTAGGTTAGATACTGATGTTGGATGGTTAGTTTCAGATCACTTCAGCTTATCCCGAAGCTATTGAATGCAGCTCCATCACTCCAGGGAGCACAGTTCCACTGCGCCACAGCCCAACACTGGGGGGGTTTCATACCCTTCTAGCTGATGCTTGGCGTTGAGCATAGACTCGTGCAGTTGCTCCTGAGCATCCCATTGTATTAGTCAATGCTTTTCTAAGGACATTATACAAGCTGTGTGCTCAGTTGAACACCTGTGTCAGTAATGGGTGCATCTAATGTAGCTTAATGCACTAATTAAAAGTGTCCGGATACTTTTAAATTAATACTATACTGTGTCAGAAATGTGTCTATGTGATGATTTAGACATGCATTAGGCACAATCTTTGCTGATCATCTCGGCTAATGGACTACATTTGGGGTGAGGCCTGCTTCACACATGCTACCTCTGTGTGTGTGAAGCGATTTTCATCTCAACCCTCATTCATTTCTATAAAGGCAGGCTGCAGTTGTGCGTGAGGGACTGTGGGAGCAGCAACGATGCAAACATGTGGCAAAAGTGATTTTTCACAACAACGTGAGCTTTGCCAGGCGGCAGCCAATCAGATTTTTACAAATTACCATCATGCATCATGTTTCATTCAAACCACATGCTGAAATCAGTGTTGGTGGAAAATAGAGGAGAAATTAGCTGGAAATATTCATATTAGCTCACATTTTTGAAAAGAGGTTTCATTGGAGCACAGAACTAGCCTAGAACTCTGCTTGTTCATATTTTGCTCTATTGTTCCACAGCAACAGCTGTCTGTGTGATAAGCCAGCACACATGTAACTTCACAGTTACATGAAGCATTTCAAAAACAAAGTTGCACGCAGCACATTCAGTTACTGTACTAGATAGCCAAATTAGAAGCTTGTGTTTTTTGATATACTGTATTGGTCTCGGTATAAAGTCATAACAATGTGTAATTTACATGTTTGCATCATTTTCTTACAGGTCTTTTTTATTTCAATACAGCCTTTTTCATTACAAATGATCATTTTATTACTATAATGATGAGTAACAAAAAGAATCCTTGAAATATTAGAAATAAAGAATTTCTCAGTATGTCCCCCTTTTGTCTTAATGACAATGTTCACTCGAACTGAACTCTTGAGAGCTTTAATGGAAAAGATCAGATTGAAAAAAAATCAGAGCTTTTCATACAAAGGCCTTAACATTTGCTTAGATTTGAATCTGGAAATAGTTCAAATTATTTCTTCTTTGTTATCTTTTTTCAGAATTCTAAAACTTTCTGTTGTTTATTTCTATGTTTAGATAAAAAAGTCCCAGAGGTTCAAAGTGTGGTCTCAGAGTCTCAGAGACCCCACTGTGCATCAGTTGTTTGTCTATCTGTCTAGGGTTCTTTACTAGGGTTTTCCATCTGTTGTGATATGTTAAGTTTTTGAAAATGAATCTTTAAGTAGCCATTACAGGTAAAAGCTACTTGATGTCTCACTCATCCTGTCTACAAGCACGAGAAGTTCATTCCGAAGCGCATCTCTGTTAAAATATTCATTCTTTGCACCCCAGTGTAATTTAAGCTCTGTGTAAAACTACAGGTCAAGGTAACATCAGTCTAGAGAAGAATAAACAGCGACATAAGCAGCTGTTTAAACAGCTGGCCAGTTGACGTCCAGTAAACCATGATCTGGTGAAATCATTCATTCTAACATATGTCATTTCACATGATCATGTGATGCGTTGTTGGCGTTTTGACTGGCTGTTTCATGAAATTTGTTTTTTACGAAGTTGAGACGCATGCAGCTGTTGCGGCTGAGTGTCAAGTGAGTTGCAGGATGCTTTACATTATTACACTACATTACATTATTAGTTTCATGTAGGTTTCGATCAACTAAACTTGCATTAAGGTTTCACTGTAAAGCCAGAAAACACAGCCTTGTACACAATGTATATGTGCATTTGTATGTGTACATCTCTTTTAGTTCCGGTAAGAAGACCAAGTGTGGTGGTTGAGTACCTCCAGACAGCAGACTATGTGGTTGCAGCTGCCCTGCTCCAGTGTTCCATCAACAGCGGAACTTTCCCACTTTTCTCCTGGTCCTTCAACCACTCCTCTCTACCATCACAGGGCCATTCTCATGCCTTCACGCTTCATGGCAAAAGCCTAATACTCACAGACATCAACGCCAGTAATTCTGGGTATTACAGCTGCCGAGTGAGGGACTCTTTTAACTCTAACTCATCCTGGCTGGAGAGTGAGGGGGTTTTGGTTGAGAAGACAGGTGAGATGTGCACCCTCATGATTTTCTCAAGCAGTCACTCTAATTAGGGGCATAAAAGGGAATTCGTTATTGGTCACGGTGGAAAAAAGTGGACAAAAGTACAAAATATTTGGTCTTCAAAATGACCACAACTACCCACAACTAACCTTTAGTTATGCATTGTCAGGAACCACATAAGCAAGTGATTATTTAAAGTGGAATTCTGCTGATTTTTCAAAACGTTCATGCAAGATTGCATGCTTGAAATGTAAATAAAGTTATTCGTAGTGGTTTGATGTGAAATGGTTCAACGTAGAGAAACTTACAACTTACAGTGGTGGTGATGGGAACCAGGGGTTGCAAGGTCTACACTGCACCTTTTATTTGCTATCCAGACCCACCAGTGAACCTACGCATGTCTTCTGAGTGTTTCTATTGTAGTGTTCACCACTATTAAAAGAGAGTCAGCTTTCGCACAAGTTGTGGTGCTTTATTTTCCAGTTGTTGTCGGCCACAGCCACGCCGTAAATAAGCAAAGCTTTTTTCTCTAACAGCTAGATCTCTGGCTCAGCTTACGTCTCTTACCTCTCACTCTCTTAGCTCACGCACACACAGGGGCGGCTCCTAGCTCTATACAATAAGAGTCCTTAGCAAAATGAAGTCAGTGAATATGTGCTGAAGAACGAACAACCTAAAACTAACATGTAAACATTTCTTGCACATGCTACACTATGTAGATGATGTTAAAATAGTAGTAAATATGAATCAAAAATAAGTTTTCTGTCAGGACTATTTTGCCTCACAGCACCCTGCATGTACCTCTCCTCCATATTTTAGGCCAAAACCTTCTCAAATGTATTGTCTGGCATCAGGCAGCATATTTAACCATTTCATGTAATAATTCTCTGTGATAAAACTTTTAGAGGCATGAAACTCTTCAGATATCTCGTTTCTATCACCACCACTGTGAATTGACTTGGAATTGACTTTGTTTACATCCTATTGATTTAATAATGGAAATTTTGAATACTCAGTGGAATTCCCCTTTAACAACTTGAAACAGATTGAGGCAACTGTGTGATGATTTAGAAGTGTGATTTGCTAAAATGCTAAAAGTTCAGCAGTAAACTTCTGTTACTTGTTAACTACATTAGCCTTCAGTGGGGAACCCTCAAGGCCTTCTAATCTAATGCTTGTTTTATTTAACTCTATTGTAATAACACAGTTATTTCATGTTTACATTTTGGTTGGAAACAATAAGATCAAATTTGTAAAAGTTCAACAAAAATTTGTTCAATCAGAAATATTTTTCTCTGTGGTATATAGGTAGATAAAGTCAAGCAAGCTCTCCCATTGGTTAGGCCTTCAGAAGCGGAGCCAAAGACTCAACTTGTCTGATTAACCACTAACATAATAAAAAACTGACAGTAGAATCAACCAAGATTGACTAATGTGTTTCCTTCAGTTGTTATAAATGTGAGACAGTTGCGGCAGTTCTATGCTAGGACACTGAAGAAATCACTGTAAAACTGTATACAAGGTAAAATATATATTAATATGTCAAAAAAAATATTGAATGTCTTTTTTTTCAAGCTTCAGATGTCTGCAGTTGGTCTAGAATGACCAAAAAATGTTAATGTTAATTGTGGTTAGTGTAATATATCACTAGAATCCCATAGGGGCGCTAACAGAAATTAGCAGTATTGTAGTTATTGAGCACGTTTTGACATTTTTTGCCCAAATAGTGACAATTCTCCACTGTTAGCCTTGTTGGTCCAGTGTAAAACCATAGAAGCAAACTTTGCACACCAAACAAATCTTGGCTAATGACCTTCGCTTCAGTCACAGGCCCTGTTCTACAATCTCACATAGATTTCAAGATGCCATCTGTAGCGGTCATTGCCGTGGCTTTTTGCTGTTTCCTGTTGGCGATTATTGTGGGAGGAGCATGCTGCCTGCTCTGGAGCATCAAACATGAGCGTAACCAAGACGGTGGCAACAACCGTACGTCTCTAAACCTGGTCCAGACATTCATGGGTGCAATTTCTTTTCCTTTGACATCATACCATATACACTGTTTTCTCTCTCTCTCTCTCTCTCTTTCTCTCTCTCTCTCTCTCTCTCTCTCTCTCTCTCTCTCTCTCTCTCTCTCTCTCTTTCTCTCTTTCAGAGGATGTGGACTCACAAGAACAGACCAAGTGAGCTCTTTTTATGTTTTAAGCATAGCTTAGTTATAATGAACTCCTGTTGTCCTTGAAAACACTGATGTAAGCTTACTTCTAAAACTTATTATTAAATTATTGAGTGTGTCTCATTACACATGCCTTGGTCTCTTCTTTACCTTGTAGCACTGAAGCAGATCGTACCATGCTAGAGACTGGGTCTGAGCCACAGGCTGAAGAGACGGATACCGTTGTTGTGGAAGTAGAAGTTTAGAATGAGGCACAAATGTTAAAAAGGACAAATTTCTTTTTGGTTGACACAGTTGAATTATTTAGTACATTTTAAGGGTAAAATATAAGATATTTGAAGTAGTTTATTTATTAATTTATCAATCAATTGATCAATATGTTGCAATTCACAGAGACCACCTGTCATTTATTTCATTTCACCCCAGAAAGGCCATTGAGTTATTCATGTATCTGAGGAGGTATTACTGGGGAGATTAGATATAAATATTCTCTTGCATAAGAAAGTGGAATGTCAAAGGAAAATAAATGAAAAAAAAACAGGAGTTTCCAAAACTGGAGTTCAAAAGATTACTGAGTTTTAGAGAAGATGGGACTTCTAATGACCACCTGCAGACCTGGTACACTCTTAAAAATTGTGGTTCTTCAAGGGTTTTTTTTATTAGAGGTAATGGTTCTATATAGAACCATGAAAATCAAAGAACCCCTGTGCATGATTAAAAAGTTCTTTGCATGGTGAAAAAGTTAAAAATCTGCAACCAACTTCTGAGACTGAACTTTGGAGTCTCCTGAAAAGAATGGAGGCCTAAATAAAGGCAAAGAGTGGACACACTAAATACTGAAAAACCTATATTTAGTCAAATATGTTTTTCTGGTTGTGCCCTGAAAATGAAAGTTGGCCCCTTTCAATGGAAATTAAGTAAATGAAAGGGTGGTCTCTGACTTTATGGTATGGTACAAATATCACAGTATGGTACAAATGTCAGTGTTAGCCAACTGGCTAATGTTAAACTGTAGGCCTCAGCAATAGATGACTGACACAACTATGTCTTTATTTTCCTTTCCACTGTTCCATAGCAGCATCTGATGGAACCTAGTTGCTCTGCTCATGGATCTGAAGTATTCATGGCTTTGAACAAAGCCCCAGAGTGCTACCCTACAGATAGTGACATGCTGAACCAGCCTACTGATCTTATTTATAACAGATTTCATCTTTTCATCCTTTTTTTATTGTTTTGTTACAGTACATTACTGTGACTATAAATGTGTATGCTAATAAAACACTACTTGTGCTAAATTGTATGCTAATAAATGCACTACAACAAAAGGAAACATCTTATGATATTTATTTTTGAATGTATAGACAGAATCTTGAATGTATAGACAGAACACTACGCACTTCATTTTGTGAATTTTATAGTATATGGCTGTTATTAAACAAAAAGTAGTTAAACATTCTGTGCTACACAGGATTTTTCAGAAGGTATAGACTCAAAATAATGGCCAAGTCGCGAGCCCTAAAACTGCTGAGGGTAAACAAATTCACAAGCTTTTAATACCATCTTCTTTATCATCCACACAGCAAAGTGGACTGTGTGTAATATCTGTAGAACTTGTTGTGATCAGTCTTTCCAGTATGTAGGTTTGCTGAGTAGTTCAGCAGAGCAAACATATGGCCGTGGTGTGCGAGCTGTGGTAGCCATTAATGTCACTCAGAGGTAGTCAGTATGGAAAAAAAAACTGACTGGCTCAGAGGATGGAGTCGTATTGGAGCGATTTTGGAGTGAGAGAGAATCATACCACTCCACTCCCTACTCCGCTCCCAGTCTGGACCACTCACATAGTCTGGTCAGCAGCAATGGAAGTTAACCTGCTGGTCATCAAACCAGCATATCGTCTAAAGAAAAACATGTATGTCCGAAATGGTAACTTCAAAAGAGAAGGCAAAAACATTTTTAACTTTTAATCTACGTTAATTTAAAGAGGTTTTATTCCAAGCACTTATGGAGCATTTCTATTGGTCCATTCATTATAACATTTTTACACAGTGTAAAGCCACCATGTTTAAATAATGAAGAAAAATGACAGTCGACACCAGATCAGCTCTAAATCTAGACCTTTTCTGCTTCACATCATCATATTAAGCTAAGTGGTTGATATCCAGGTTTGGGATGTGACAAAATACATTTCTTGGAAATACGTGTTCAGAATACAGAAATTAAGTATCTGTATTCCGTCCAAGTTACATTTTTAAAGGGCAGTATTTAGTATACAGTTACTTGATGCATTTTTAGGTGAATATTTTTAGAATACCTACCCACTAAAATAGTGTTTGTTTATTAACTTTATTTAGAATCAGTGCACAGCATGTAGCACACATACTTGTTAGATGGACTCTAAAGAGGACCTTAAATGTTACCTCAGTGTTACCGAGCTCTTTTGAGGGATGATCAAAGTAATAATCTCCACAGTAGTAAAAAGTAAGGTAAAAGTCCAAAGTAAGGTAAAAGCAGTTAAAGCAGCATTCTATAAACTTTAAAGTTGATGTTAAATACATTTATAGCAGCAGGAAACCTGGCCAGGCTATCTTGCACTCAAGGTCAGTGCTGTATCCAGGACTTCCAGATGGACTAAGGTGACCTTTTTTCTCAGCAAATTGGTCGCGGCCATTGAAAATCAAAACGTGATTGGTTGATGCTTTCATTATCTAATTATATTAGTGGTTAACCTGACATGTTAGGCCTTTGGTCTAGATTCTGAAGGCCTAACCGATGGGAGGGCTATCTTGGCTATATCTATCTAGGTAACACAGAGAAAAAAATCTTCCATTTGGCATTTCAGTCATTAAGCCGTCTCTGAAGACCTAGAAGACCCTGGAGGTTTTGCACTGCAGATGCCGTTCCTGACTGTGTGATTCTCTTCAGTTAGAGGCTGTAGGGTGTGTGCAGGAGTAGAGTGAGCGCTCCTATCAGCTCAGTGCACATGTCAAAGTTTAGAGAAACTGAAAGGGGTGTGTCATATCCAGCTCTGCCGGCATGAGAGTGGTTGTGTGTGTTTGTTGCCTGTACACTAAAGTTCCATCATTTAGACATAACCTAACAAGATGTCTCACATTTTCTGGCAGTCTGATTAACCGGCTGATATTTGCAAACACCAGATACATCCCACTGGACTATGACAAAAATGACCTTTACTTTTAACCTTCTTCTGGTTCTTCTGGGTAAAGAAGATTATTTTTTCTTATATATTTCTCTCTGAAATAGTAATAGTGGGTATCTTTCCCTCGGCTGTGTTTCATGACCTGTTGTTTCTTTTTTGATTAGGTCTCTGCAGCATGTGGCAGAGGACAGGTAAGTGACCACACTATCTCCAATGTGAACAGCTTTTATATCTGCAAGCACAAGCGCTCTTTTAATTTATACAACATTTTGATTAAACCACTTAAACTGATTGCATTATCTCCATGTTGTTATATCTGATAACTGCATGTTTTCACCATATCTGTATTATGATCAGACTGTTAAAAGTGTTTTAACTTGGAAAACTGTTAATCTGTCTGCCTTTGAGGTTTTTTGAACTTCAGATAATAAGATAACAGAATGCAAGAGAGATTATTATTCTATGACTTAATTTATCACATTAAATGAGTACAAAAGTTCAAAGACAGACAGGTTACTTACCTTTTTTAGCTTAAAGGGGAATTCCACCAATTTTGAAAGATATCTGCATAATGAAATCGTTGAGTAAACAAAGTCATTGGTTGGGGTCGTTTGTTTTGAAATGGTCCATAGTAAAGAAACTTACCCTCCCAGATTTTACGATGGTGTACTTCTCCACCATGAATTTAGTACATTCAGGCCCAAATTGTATCTCAAAATGATGGTAAGTCTATGTCTCTGACATTAGACAATTTATTTGTAGCCGAATTATTCACAGTGGTGGTGATGGGAACCAGATGACTGGATCTTTGAGATTTGAATTGATGTGAATTTTTGCTTTGATTTGACGTATTATTTTATTTTTACTTTCTTTCAAGCAAAGTGTTGATGAATTGAAAAAAACTAGTTAACCAGCTTTTTACCACATCAAGCCATTTTTAGGTTGTACTGATTTGGCATTTTTTGCATCATCACAGAAAGTTATTGCACTAAATTGTTATGAATTTCTTGCCTGTAGCCTGAAAGACTCAATCACAAAAAGTGCCATATTAAAAATCTCAGCAAACCTATGAGCCAGATAATGAGTATGTTTTTAATTTCATTTTTAAATAACATTTTGCCATAACCTGACCTGGCCATTGTTTAATCATAATATGGCAAAACGTCAAAAACACTATGTTACTATTATATAGTACACGTTGGGGATTGTAGCACAGAGCTTTGTGAAAAGGACTAATATTCATAGAAATTTTAAATAACTGCATTAGATGGATAGGATGGATAGGATTGTGTGGGTCTGTGTTTGACACATGAGTTTTAGGTGAAGATTTTGGCCTTCTTTAAAACCCATTCATGGGAGAGAGCTACATGGACAGCACAGTAAATCAAAATAATCTGCAAAGAAAGTGTATTTTTTAAGATGCATCACTATGTTACCATTATCAGCATTGCATATAAAAACTCAGACGACTTGTGTAGGCTCACTGGTCATTTGTGTAGCAACTAAAGTGGCTATATTTGCATTGTACACATCACGAGTCAGTAAGCATTTCACATCAAACCACTCTGAATAACTTGTTTACATGTCAACTACTGTCGGAATTCTCTTATATTTTCATTTCAGATGGTCAGGCATTAGGTAAACCTGTGATTTGGGGTCCCTCTGAGGGCATCGTGAGGACCGTTGAGGAGTTCTTCTGCAAGGTTGATGAAATTCCAGAAGATGTGTCTATTGTGTATCAGCTCTTTAAAGAAGGTGACGTTAGGAGGCTCATTGGGGAGTACACTTCTCTCAGCGGTGAGCCTGGCAAGTTTCCTGTTTATGTCCGCTCTACTTTTGATGGAAGGTACATATGCAAAGCGAGTGGACACAACAACGCAGAAGTCATACCCTCATACAGCGACCCACTGCGCTTCAGAGTCATTGGTAAGTAAAAAGCACAAGCAAGAGCTCTGTTTAAGATGTTCACTACCAAAAGAGAAGTTATTAAATCATAACTAAGCAGTGAACGTGGACAAATTGGTAAATCTTTTAGTTAAATATGCACAATAAATGGACAATGACGTGATATTCAGTTCCTCAGAATAACTTACAGAAAAAATTCAAAGTTAACTCAAATATTTTGAAATAAGTAAAAATATCTAGAAATTGGATAAATAACTCCAGGTGCAAAGTACTTCACTAAACAATCTTTACATTCAAGACATTTCTCACCTTACATTGAAGAAGATTTTTATTTGTTGTGGCACAGTCAGTATAGCACAAACAAAAAAAGACAAACACATCATCATCATCATTATCTGAAACCACTTAATCCAGATAGGGCACTAGGCAAAGGTAGGCCACCACCTACGAATCCTCTAAAATACAAATGACATATACTGTACATGCTGATGTTAACAGACCTATTCCAAACTATGTGCACATCATAAAAATAGCTGCTATTTGCAGTTGTATTGTAGATTTTCAGTCATTTGAATTCAGCACCACCATCTGCTCATGGACATAATGGACTATTCCATGTTGTTCCGTGATGACACAACTGTGTAAGGCATACTGGTGTGAGCAAGGCACTGAAGTGATAATCTACACCATGCATGTCAAACAGGGGACCTTCCGGGCCAAAGTGCTGTAGAGATTAGCATTTACCCTCATCTAATGATCTGAATTCAGTTCATGAAGGCCTTGCTAATTAGCTGATGAGCTCAGTCAGAACAGAGAGCTGCACAGGCTCAGCAGATTGTACATAACGCTAGTGTTAGTGTTAGCAAAGACAGCTCCAGTGTTGTAGTCACTCAAAAAACCCATTCAAGTTACTAAGTGCTTCTTTCGTCCTTGTAGTGATTGTTCAGGAGTCGGATTCTTACCTGTCACGTGGGAGACCCAGGTCCGATTGCTAACCAGTGCAACAATGCAAGGCCTTTGATATTGTCCAGTCCGCTTTGACAAAATCTCACAATCAGCATTATCTCAAAAACAGCTTCATGTTAATTACTTCTTTTAAAATGTAATATGTTACTTATTCCTTCCTGGAAAAAGTAATCTCATTACTCATTACTTTACTTCTACATCACTCTTTACCCTGAAAAACATGACATTTTGGAATATGAAAGGATTTTAAAACCAGTCAAAATATTTAATACTTGACAGAAGCAAAATTATCTGCCAATATGGTGAAATAGTTTGGTACCCTGCAAAAAAATGATATCTTGACGAGTGAAATCAACTTCAATGTAATCTAAATAGCTAATATCTTTCATTTTGAAATGGTTGTGGGAATATTATATGATTAATTAATGTATTTCTACACATTTTTCACATTTTAAATCATTTTATTAAGCAAGATTATCTCACTACATGTGCCGAAAATTTGGCACATTTGAAGTAATAATGCCTGAAACAAGCTACATTATCTGTCAACATAGTGAGATGATTTTACTTAATAAAATGACTTAAAACAGGTAAAAAGCATCTAGAAATAAGTTACATAATCTTATAATATTCCCACAACCATCTCAAAATGAAACATGTTAGCTATGCAGATTATATTTAAGATGATTTCACTCATAAAGATATCATTTTTTGCAGTGTACCAAACTGTCTCACTATCATTGACAGATAATTTTGCTTGTTTCGAGTATTATTCAAAAGGATCTTCCAGTATATTGAGATAATTTTACTTGGCTTATATCAGTCATTTCAGTAAAAATGTCTAGAAATGTGTTAAATACTCATAAAATTCTTGCAACAATGTGAAAATGAGAAATATTACACTGTCAGAGAAAAGATGCAGGTACATTGTTTGATTCTCAAGGTAGAAACCATGTAAATGTACCCTGAAAGGCACAACAGTGGTTTTAAGGACCAATTGTGAAACTTAATTAAGTTTTTCCAGGTAAAAAGTACATATTTGTACCTTTTCATGACCCAAAGTTTTAAAACAGAACAGTAAGATAAAAAGTCTGGGGACGAGGCAGAGTGTGTGAAATTAATACACTGTAAATATAATTGCTATGGATTATGGTACAACTAAAGGTACTGAAGATGCACCCTTGAGGGTACCAGTGACAGTTTAGTGTTGACTTGTCGACTAGATTTAAGATGATTGACTTAGATGCTTAAGTCTTTTGCACAGTACAGTGCATTGCAAAATAACTGTACTAAAGTGTAAATAATGTGATTTGCTGTGTTTCAGAAAAGATAGAAGGTGCACACATCACATTAGACCCGCCATCTGAGGAATTCTGGGAGGAAGAGAGTGTGACTCTGCAGTGTAGTGTGACTAGGGGGACTTATGTCTCTTATGATTGGCTCTTGGACAAGGTAGCAGTCCAGCACCACTACAACAGGTCTCAGAACCAACTGACCATTCAAAGCCTGTCCACCAGTGACAGTGGGAGATACTCCTGTGTGGCTTCAAACCAATTCAATGGCACGTTGTTCTCCAGCAGCACTTCTGATGGCAAGAATGTGAATGTAAAAGGTAACATGTTGTTCCTTTTTTTTGGATACGTGTATTTGAAGCATAATATTTCTAGGCAAATGTTGTTTTTTGTGACTTCATAAAAAAACAAAACAGTGAACTCAGAACAGGCTGTTTTTGCAGCCCTGTTTTTGTAAAGTAGCTGTATGAAATGCAGAAACTTTGGCCATGTTTACAAGCTACATTAAACTCTTTTATTTCAAAAAAGAGGACTTAGTAGTTTTTCATGATGTGGGGCCTTTAAATAAAGAATTGAGCTTTTAAAACTTCATACAACACTTATTTATTACTCTCTCTTTGTCTCTCTTTTGCTAATCTCTGTGCCCAATCCAGAGCATGTCTCAGAACCCAAAATCTCATTTGAAGTTGTTAAAGACAGGGAGGGAATTTTCTCTGCTATCGTGAAGTGCCAGTCAGAGAAGGGGACCTCACCCATAACCTTCACACTTCTCCGAAACAATGACAGCATTGCTGAGGAACAAGACAAAGACTTGCAAGCTGAATTTGTGGTGCCAATTCAACTAGACCGGAACATGGGCTTGGTACAGTGCCAGGCAAGTGACAGGACCAGAACGGTGTCGAGTAAACCAGTGAACATCACAGTGGGTATGTGGAGCACATACACACGCATTCATCTAGCTGAATGAACCTAAATATAGAAGACATTCATATCCTCACACTGAGAAGAACTCAATGTAGCCTCACATGGACTGCATGTAATTCCACACTGCTTAGATGAGAAATTAGACAACACCTACTTTGACAGGACACACAGTTGTAAACATACTGGTCAAATGACATGTTTTGTTGATTTTCTATCTGAAAATAAGTAAAAAAAAATTCTACAGGGAACAAATATTTAGGTAAGACTTTATGTGGTAGCCTACTGTAGATGCTTTTCATGCATGTAATTCACATTCAATTAAATTTCTTCAAAAATCATGTAGCCCTGGTCCTAATTCTGTTCTTAAACTTAACCTCAATTGAAACCCTAAAGTTGGCCTTAAACTACCTGATCCTAATCCTTACCTCCATTCTAACACTGTTGAAAATGAGCTGAATTTCACCAGGTAGTTTATTATTAATCTGAATATCTGTAGTTAACCTATAGCTGGCTATCCAATTAAAATCGGATCAATATTTAAATAAACCATTTTAGTTGACATTTCTCTTCCAGTGTCGTTGCACAAAGTTTTACTATTTTATTTTATTTGATTGTCTAGAAATTGCAGCATAACTCTTGCACCAGGTAAATTATATATATTTATACATTGAGCACAAGTACAGTCATTGTGCATTACAATGTTCAAAAGTTGTTCTCTAGGATGTTTCAGTTATTTTCACTTAGAAAACCAACAAAACATGTAATTTCTAAAGGAATGCCCAAACTTTTGCATCAGGCTGTGTATACAAACAGGAGCATCCACTTGACAAAGCCAACTTAATGTTCTTTGTTTTATAATTCAACACTTTTTTGGTACCGTTTCCACAAATTAAAGTTTTTGAGCTAGAACTACAAAACTTGGCAGGCTCGTAGAGCCTTATCAACTGCCTGGGACACAACAGCAATGGACTAGCAACACCTTATCAACTGCCTGGGATTATATAGCAACAGCGTTGTCAAGCCAACTTAAAGTTTGTTCACAAACCTTATATATATATATATATATATATGTGTGTGTGTGTGTGTGTGTGTGTGTGCCTGTGTGTATGTATTATAAATGTATAAAAATATATTTTTATTCGTGTTTTTAGATTGTAGTTCAAAAATTTGGAAATTTGGAAATTTCATAGTACACTGACTGATTTTCTAAAGACTTGTAGTCAATCTGAGTCTGAGATTTACGCTTCCTCCATGAAGGAAACTACATATTTCCTATCTATCATGGTGGAGTAATGATGATCAGTGTTCATTGTGTCACCCATGCAGAGTCAGTTGGAGGCGCTGTGACAATGAAGGTGAACAGAACTGTGGTGAACAATTCTGAGGTGTGGGCTGTGTGGCTGCGGTGCAGTGTGGAGAGGGGGACGTTTCCAGAATACTCCTGGTTCCTCAACAACACCAGGCTGGAAAAACAAGACTTATTTCTGCACCAGACAAATAATGCAGTCTTTCAAGTCATTTTGGTCCCAGAGACTGCTGGACTCTACCACTGTGAGGCAGCAAATGCATTCGACAACACTACGAGAGTGCTCAGTCAAAAGTGGCTGATCAATAAAGAAGGTAAAGTGGGTGCTCATTCATATAATTTAACCCCTATGGACACAATCAATCAAAGTAGACTATTACACTACACTTTTGAGGCCAGTTTCCCAGACTAAATACTGAAAAATCTATATTTAGTTAAATATGTTTTCTGCATGTGTCCTGAAATTTAAACTTGGCTCTTTTCGATGGAAATTACGTAAATGAAAGGGTGGTCTCTGACTTTTAGCAATAGATGACTGACTCAACTATGTCTTTATTTTCCTTTCCACTGTTCCATAGCAGCATCTGATGGAACCTAGTTGCTCTGCTCATGGATCTGAAGTATTCTTGGCTTTGAACAAAGCCCCAGAGTGCTACCCTACAGATCGTGACATGCTGAACCAGCTCTTATTTATATCAGATTTTATCTTTTCATCCTTTTTTTGTTGTTTTGACTATAAATGTGTATGCTAATAAAACACTACTTGTACTAAATTGTACGCTAATAAATGCACTACAACAAAAGGAAACATCTTATATTTATTTTATGTCTTGAATGTGTTGACAGAACACTACGCACTTCATTTTGTGAATTTGATAATATATGGCTGTTATTAAACAAAAAATAGTTAAACATTCTGTGCTACACAGGATTTTTTGGTAGGTATAGACACAAATGGCCATGTCGCGAGCCCTAAAACTGCTGAGGGTAAACAAATTTACAAGCTTTTAATACCATCATCTTTATCATCCACACAGCAAAGTGGACTGTGTGTAATATCTGTAGAACTTGTTGTGATCAGTCTTTCCAGTATGTAGGTTTGCTGAGCAGTTCAGCAGAGCAAACATATGGCTGTGGTGTACGAGCCATGGTAGCCATTAATGTCACTCAGAGGTAGTCAGTATGGAAAAAAAACTGACTGGCTCAGAGGATGGAGTTGTATTGGAGCGATTTTGGAGTGAGAGAGAACCACACCACTCCACTCCCTACTCCGCTCCCAGTCTGGACCACTCACATAGTCTGGTCAGCAGCAATGGAAGTTAACCTGCTGGTCATCAAACCAGCATATCGTCTAAAGAATAACACATAACTCCAAAATGGTAACTTTAAAAGAGAAGGCAAAAACATTTTTAACTTTTAATCTACGTTAATTTAAAGAGGTTTTATATATCCAAGCACTTATGGAGCATTTCTATTGGTCCATTCATCATGAAATTTTCACACAATGTAAAGCCACCATGTTTAAATGATGAAGAAATATGACAATCAACACCAGATCAGCTCTAAATCTAGACCTTTTCTGCTTCACTTCATCATATTAAGCTAAGTGGTTGATATCCAGGGTTGGGATGTAACAGAATATATTTCTTGGAAATAAGTGTTCAGAATACAGAAATTAAGTATCTGTATTCAGTCCAAGTTACATTTTTAAAGGGCAGTATTTAGTATACTGTTACTTTATGCATTTTCAGTAGAATACTTTTAGAATACCTACCAAACACTAAATTAGTGTTTGTTTATTCACAATCACTGTAGCACACATGATTGTTAGATGGACTCTAAAGAGGACCTCAAATAATGGCTTCTTTACAAACACTAAAGTTCCTGAAGCCTGAGTAGACTGATAAATCAATGTGATGAGCCAGTTATTAATTTCAGTGTTACTGAGCTCTTGTGAGGGATGTGTTAAATATTATTTTACTTTATTTTACTTTATTTGCTTTTATTAACTTTATAACTTCTCTTAAGCCTTCTTCTGTTTCCCTTGCCTTTTGTGTTAATCTCATTTGCATTTTGGATGTCTCTCTTGGGTGATGTGTGGGGGCTGTGGAGAGCAGTCCCTTTGTCATGTAACGACCTCCAATGGTTAACCTTTTTCACATCTGGTTATCTATAGCTCCCCAGTCTAGCAATGCCATTTGTTGAAGGGATATCTCAGAGACATCCTGGCTCCCAAATGGAGGAGACTGTAAATTCCTGGGTGGGCCTCAACACCTCTATTTTAATTACAAAGGTAGAGGCAGTTGCCCATCAAGTCCCCTGTTTCTGGGTCGTTTAGACAAAGAGACCACTAGAGGGTGTGGTTTACATGGTTCACTATAAGTGCATCGCTGTGCAAGCTTAGTTAGGCTTGCTGGGAAGACGCGCATTCATTAAACTTTTTCCTCGAGTCTCCACTCCGGTGAAGTTCCATCAGCTTTCAAGACTGCAAGAGTACTTTCCATCCTGAAGAAACACACACTTGACAGCTCTGATGTCAACAACTACAGACTGGTTTCACTCCTTTCTTTTCTTTCAAAAATTCTTGAACGTACGGTCTATAATCAACTGTCTCTCTTTCTCACACAGAACCAGCTCCAGGACCCCAACCAGTCTGGCTTCAAACCAGCGCACTCAACAGAAACTGCTCTTATAGCTGTGACCGAGAAGCTCCAGTCAGCAAGATCAGCCAAACTGTCACCTGTCCTGATTCTTCTTGACCTCTCAGCAGCTTTTGACATGGTCAACCATACAATCCTTCTGGATGTCCTCACCAATCTTGGAATCACTGGCTATGTGTGGAAGTGGTTCAAGTCCTATCTGGAGGATCGCTTTTATCAGGTAACATGGAGAGGGTCCACATCCTCTCCATGCAGGCTCTCCACTGGTGTCCCACAAGGCTCAGTGCTGGGTCCTCTTCTCCTTTCTCTTTACACTAGCTCTCTTGGTGATGTAATATCTTCTCATGGCTTCTCTTATCATTGTTATGCTGATGACACTCAACTAATGCTTTCTTTCTCACCCTCTGACACACAGGTTTCCAGTCGGATC